GCGGTGGACATGGGAGTCACCCAACGGTACGACTCATGCGGAGATCGACCACATTCTCACCAACCGAAGGCAGTGCTTAACAGTGGTACCATCCTTCAGCGTAGTTCAGATGACCATCTCCTTCAAGCGATTTGACCAAAAACTGGAAAAGATGATCTGTCACAGTGTTAGAGGAAGTATAGAAGTTATATTAGACGGCGTCAGATTGGAAAAGTTCCTACCATTGGTGACTGGCCGAAGAGGACCCAATGAAAGACTACGGCCTGCTTCTCAGAGGACTGAGTCTCTGTGCTGAAAGTGCCTATGCCTTGAACAAGGAAATTAGAGCGAATTCCAAAAGCCGCCGAGGATCTGCTTGAGAACAGGAGAGCACTGAGGCAGGATCCGACTGCATCACTTCCCGAGCGACTGATAGCCAATACCAATTGCAGAACAGCTTTGCAAGATGATCCTCGAAAATGCAGGCATTCAAAACTTTTAGAACCTGTACAGGGAAGAAAATGTCTAAAGAAGTACCGCAGGGACCTTCTCGACTACCGTGTTCTGCTGACAGCATTACTAAACGAAAACGGGACTCAAAAATCCTCCCGACAGAAGATGAAATCGATCACGAAGCGATTCTACACCGATCTCTTCCGATCATCAATACCCTCGTAAGACTCCGTTATCTCCACTGGGGAAATATCAACCGGCTTCTATTTGCTAAAGTACGCACCGTAATCCAGAACATGAAGGCAGCCACGCTTGACTCGACGCGAACAGACTTGGCGCACCTAACGTCTTACCTTCAAAAAGAAAAAAACGAGCAGTGGAAAATCTCCTAAACAATCTTACTTCAGGCGATAGGGAGGATGTTCGGAACTACCGTTACGCATGGTGAGCGTGCTTTACAGGCTCTTCACGAAGACTACGCTCACTCGTATATCAAGGACGCCGAATGAAGCCCAACCTGTAGAACAAACTGGTCGCAAGGGTTTTAGCTGTGTGGATCACATCCAGACGATTTCGAGGATTATCGAGTTCTGCCGAAAGTATCGCCTCCTCCCGCTCTAATCTTCTCTATGAGAAAGCGTTTGTCGAATAACGCCACTGTCAGCATTTGTCGACATATCCTACGTGAGAACATTGGCCGACTGCAAAAAACTGCTCCACGAAGGTACAGCTTTCCCATTGCCTCCTTCGTATACCAGTTTCAAAGAGGATTCGACAAGGCGATACCGTATCGCAATGTTCGACCGCCGAACTGCAGTGGGTAATGAAATCATTGAACGAGAGAGGTATACGAGGTGATGGGAGATTTTTCACAAATCTTCGATTTGCGGACGAAATTGTTCTCTTCGTAAAGAATATTGCGTAGACGATGTTGAAGGAACTCTATGAAGCATGGAAGCATATAGGAATGCAAAATAACCAAGATAAAATGCAAAATAAGCATGGAAGAAGACTCAGTTCATATAGGACGCTTTTTGCAAGGATTAGGAAATGGAATTAGAAGGCTTCCAATCGCGGAGACATCTTATTGCGCATATCTCGAACGTTTGACGAACTGGAGAACGGTCTGAATGAAGAACTAAACAGGAGGCGAAGGGCAGCCTGGGCCGCTTTCGGGCTCCTAGAAGCCACAGACCAACTGACGGACCCAGAGCTCCAAGCCCACCTGTTCGATCCAACCGTTCTTCCTAAGTTCTGTCACGCTGCAGAGACGCAGCCTGACACTGTGGCTATTCGAAAGCTCTCCAGAGCAGAGCACTGAAACGACGTTTTCTGAAGTTTAAGCGACGCACTCAACATCTCGCAGTTCAGATATGAGATCAATGCCTCGTCTTTGCGATCCAGCGGAATACGTCTTCAAAGCAAAAGATCAATGGGCTGCTCCTATAATGAGGAGGGCAGACGACAGATGGACTAGAACTCTGAAATGGATCCTGCGAAGCAAAAGTCCTGAGGGAGGCCACCGACCAAGCTGACGTGTTCGTTCACGGATTAACCTCAGTGGGCGTATACCTACTAACTTGGCAAGAATCCAGAAAAAACTTGAGAGGCCCTATCAATACCCATCAGATACTGCACCGCGATTCTGCAACAATAATGAGGTAGAGAAGCTCATGAAGTAAAGGGGCCAGACATCAAAAATTCTTCTGACTTCGATTTTCTTGAACTGACAAAAAGTATCTTGGCTTTAAAGGGAGGAATTCAAGAGATGGGGAGCTTTGAACCATCTTGTTTTTTGGTCCACAAAAATTGACGGATAGTAGAGAGCCTAATTATAAGGCTAAGAAAAGTTTGCTCGGTTCTACTTAACTCGAAAATTTATTAACTCAGAACTAGGGTAAGGCAAAAGAACGATGCTTTAACCCACTATGCTTCTCTGAACATTTCCTTAAGTTGTTGGGATGTTCCAAAATGAAGCTAGTCGGTTGGTGAGAAGTCCAGCCTCCTACAAGCTTGTTACCTGTTACAACGTCCTACAAGTACACAGATTTGCTATTTTTGGTCGTCTGCATGCAGGCAAACGATCATGCAAAAGTAGATATAGCCTCATTACAAAATCTCAACCCACCACAATGCCATACTTACCAACACCATAGCACCAGGCGTGTTGCACCTTCTACACTATCAGTATCGGTTCCTTATTGCATTTGCCATAGACTATGGCTAAGTGCTGCAATCCCAATTGTACAAAATTATCCTCGTCTTTGAGGTTATAGATTTCCGCTAATGATTTTCTTTAAATTGCTATTGCACAATGCTTTTCTTAACTGTTACAGTTCCAAATGCATAGTTTTCTATCGGAGCCCTTTCTCCTCTTTCTGAATTACTGTGATTTGCAACAAGTAAAGTGTTCGAATTGTGTAATCTCCTTTTTGAACAATTTTTTGCCATTATCGATATTGTCATAATATGCCCATTAAGTCATTGATTTCGAAATGATGAGCATTCCTGCTCGTTGTCAATCACACGTTCCCTATATTCTCTTGTAGACTATTGCGCCATCAGTATTTCGATCTTCCACGTTACTTGCAAAGGGAATTCGCCATCACAGCAGTTCCCAGACGAACAAAATCTGTCAAACTTCAGACTTTCTTTAGCTGGGTGCTGCAGCTGCATAGCTTTTAATTGGTCTACAATGAAGCAGCACAGATCTCTTTCGTCATATCTCTCA